GTGTGTGTGTGTGTGTGTGTGTGTGTGTGTGTGGGTGTGTGCGTGCGTGAGTGCGTGAGTGCGTGAGTGCGTGAGTGCGTGAGTGCGTGAGTGCGTGAGTGCGTGAGTGCGTGAGTGCGTGCGTGCGTGCGTGCGTGCGCGTGCGTGCGTGCGTGCGTGCGTGCGTGTGTGTGTGTGTGTGTGTGTGTGTGTGTGTGTGTGTGTGTGTGTGTGTGTGTGTTTCCGATTGTATGTGTATCTGTTGGTGCTGTTGTTGCTCCTGTTGGTGTCGTAATTGTTGTTTCTCTTGTTGCTGTCCTTGCTGACGTTCCTCTTCTTGTTGTTCTCGTTGTTCCTACCCGATTTTGCCTCCTGAGAAAAGATACAGCGAACCCTCCACCCTGCCCCCATAACCCCCATACCTAAGTCCTAGTCTGCTTTGGGAGACTATGGGCGACAGACCCCGCTAGATGCTAGATTGACTGACTGAGGCAGTCCCGACCGCAAAGAGGGTTTCATGGTCATTCCAGCGTCGTTCCAGAACTGAAAGTTGCAGGAGCATGCAGGGAAACCCAAAGCCATAACCTTGACAGCTCGAGGCACATCGCGTGATCCAAGAACGGTCCCGGCTCCAGGCACCCTGCAAATGAAGCTTACAAGACATGGCTGCGACCAAACTCTGCTGATGCGTCCCGAAAGAGTCAGAATATGAATGAAAGGGCTCCTGTCTAAGCGCATGACGACTATGTTTAGCAAAGCCTCTTCCCTGAAGCTGTGCTTTGCCGAGTAGCGCAGTACCAAAGGCTGCGCCCAGGTACGCAGCACCACCGGCGCTACCGGCGCCACCGGCACAACCGGCGCCACCGGCGCCACCCGCGCCACCAGCCTGTTTGAAAACATGCGAGAACCCTCCCACTGACAGTGCTCAAAAGCATGTTCAAAAGCATGTTCAAAAAACATGTTCAAAAAACATGTTCAAAAAACATGTTCAAGCAAACGGAACAATATAGAACAATCCCCACCTCCAGTAGCCGCACCTCCTGCCAAGCGCCTGGAAGCCTCAGATCACGGGTTCACGACAGGCACGACGGGCTCAGTGCGCATAGATCTTCATGATCTTCAGGCTGGCTTGCAAGCGTCCCTTTTCACCGGATATTGTAGGCCCCCTGCCGGTACCTCATCGTTCAATTCATTCGCTGTGCTGCTGCTGTGCTTCTCTGCAAACTGCTGGTAACCCGATGAGACCCGGCAGGTGGTCCGTGAAATGAATCGACATACCAACGCCGAATTCAACGCTGAATTCGGCTGATGCTGGTGGCATAGACAGCTGCCTGAAGCCGCTCCAGATCTGTTCCGCGTATCTTCATGTCAATGTAGTATCAGAACATCACATGAGTCAGAAATTACTGCCAAAGAAACCCCACGCTGAGGAGAGTCGGACATGCGTGGTTGCTACACTTCTAGACACCACGTGCGAAGCCATCTCAACAAAGCCTGGCCAAGAGCTACGTCTGCATCATTCAAATCTGCAGCACCGATCAACCTTACAAACAATACTTCGGACATTATGTTGCTGCTAATGACGTCAGACGTGGTGGCGGTTCACAAGCTTTACAGTCTAAGCGCAGAGGCACCAAGCACCACTACAAACAAAACATGGGCACGGTCTGGGCAAGCTCTGGCATCTTGGTATGCAACACAACTAGGGGTCCAGGAACAGCATCGGAGCCACAAAGCATTTGTCTTTTGTCACCCTTGCTCTTTGGCAATTCGGGGGTCAAGCAGACAGCTTGATCAATCTCAACCGTCTCCGGCGCATGAATGCAGTTAGGCCTTCCCAGACGAAGTCAGGCTGCCCAAACCTGGCAGCATGAAATTTAGGATTTAAGTTTAGGGCTCAAGGTAGCCCATGTGCGCAAGTCAAGCCTTAGATTCTGCCTCAGAATCTCACAACAATGTCAGCTTATTCTAGGCCTGACCCGACTTCTCCGCCCGACAATGTTGCTCATTGCCGACAAGAAGCCGCAAATTAAGGAAAGACTGCCCAAGGGTCCAAGTACCGACAGTCCCTGAGTACTTGAGGCCCTTTGAGGCCCTTGTCCTGGAAAAGTATGACTATGCTTCCTTGTCCCAGTGATGACAGCCAGAAAGGCAATCAATGCTAATCGCAGCTTAAAGACACAGCAGCCATTGGCTGATCTCCGTGTTCACCTCTGCCATTGCATCCAGATGCACTCGATGAGAGCAAGGCTCAATGACCACCAGGCGGTACTTGTCTAGGTAGGTGGCAAGGTCGACAAAAAGGCCTTCTTTGCAGATGTGGTCGTGGGACCCTTTCAGGATCAGAACCGGTAACTTCAGCTTGCGATGGGAGCCCAAAACCTGCGCAGGGAGGAAGAACACGACGACGAGCCTACACTTGAAAAAGTGTTGCCTGCCTGAAACAGGAAGGGGGGGGGGGGGTTGTTTTCTTGTTTCACGTGCCACAGCCTCTGTCATATGTGAAATGTGAACCGTACATGGCCGGCACATCCAGCACATTCGTGTTCTGCCCGTATGGCGACTACTGGAGAGTGCGCTTTTTGTCGCTCACGCTTTCCCCCAGAAATCCGTGCACTCGGGCTCCAGGACGGTCACGCAGTTTGACTTGTGCTACTTCTGCAGGGCTCGACAGGCGTGAAGTGCACAACTCAGCAATTCTGCGACTTCCTGCTTTCTTCACGCCAGACCTCTTGTAAAACGCGAAGCAACATCCTTTTTGCTCTTTGAACTCTTGATTCGCCGACCCTGGCCCGAGGGTGTGTGCACAGTTAAGCTTAAATTCGTCACAAAAAATCACAATCTCTTTCTTCTCTTTCCTTCCAGTCTCCCTGCATCGACATCCCTCGCCAATGGCGAAAGCCAGCCGGAACACTTGCCACCAAACCCCGCTCCTACCCCGTCCGCATGCTAACCGCACAAAAATGTCTTCGTCCACCAGGCAGGAAGTGTGGATCATGCGATGCCATACCGCTGGCAAAGGCCAGGCACGTCCAAGTCGATATGAGAAGTGGGGATCGAATGTGCAGAGGGATCTGTCGGGACCGGCGGGTCTTCGTGCGCTCCTAGGGAATATGCGTTCCTGTGACGAAAGGGGGGTTGGCCATCCTCCGGCAAGTAAAGCCTCTCGCTAGTGAGGCCATTGTGTTTTGGGAGCTGAGGATCGAAGGCCAACACCCTTGATGAGTCAAGAAGCAACGAGCACCACTTCCTGTTCTATCAATACGGCGTGAATGGTAGAGTAGCACTGATTCGAGCGTGTACCGCTTAGTGCTTCCTGCGACACTTGCATTTGAAGACGACCGTCGAACAACCGATGGGTCTCCAATTCCGTAAATACTGTATTGTTTGCAGCCCATCACTCCTCCTGGTGCTCGGAGCGGCCTCGCAAAAGCCCACTCCAGTATGTGTCTGCTTTGTCTCGAAGGACTGAACGCGTCATCTTCCGTACTAACCTGCCAAGAACATCAAGAACACTCAGGAACATAACCAGAACTCGAATTCTGAGGAAGGGCCGATAGGACGACACAATGAGACATCAAGGCACATTCTGTAGTAGTTCAGATGTCCTCTTGCTGCTTGTGGTTGTAAAAGATTGGCACGCGAAAGGTGAAGGAGTTCAGGTCTGACCTGCGCTCGCCTCAACTTGGAAGCGAATCTCCAAAATCTGAGTTCACGTTCCAAACATCTCCAAACCAAAGCATGTCCCCGAATGTCAGTTCCGAGGTGCTCCAAGTCGTTCAACAACACGGCTCCAAGGAAGGCATTCCTTTCTCGGAGACTCCAAAAGAAAAACCACCGTAAACAACCCTGCAATATTCTTCAATGCACTGCGGCAAAACGTGTATTACCGTATAATAACTCAAGTGAGGCACTGGAAGGTTAGCAGTGCTTCTGGTACAATGGGCATGCTGAAGGCGAGGATGTAAAGCCAGTTGTAGAGCTGCGAAAGGCTGCGCAATCCACGTGCGCAAGCTTCCAACGGCGGCATGGAGAGCGACACAAAACCAGCCACTGCAGGAGCATCTGCAGTCAAAGTAAGAAGTCGCCAGCCAATCAGTGCACCGACACCGTGGGCCACCAACACGGGCTTCTGGCCACACATTTCCCTAACCTAAGCCGCTCACGCCTCACGCCCTGGCCTTGTACTCAAAAAAGCTCCTTCTGCAACTAAGGCACATAATCGAGCCCAGCTCGCATGTCAGCAACGAGACAGGTCTCCAGGTCATACATCTCTGGATCTGACGGCTTGTCACTCAAGCCACTCCCACGCAGTGAAATCGCCATGACTGGATGCCCAAGGGAGGCGAAGAATTGCATCTGACCTGGCAACTGATTTTGCTGCTGCCATGTTTCACGGCATAGGAGCGCCAACACAAAGCGGAGACACAACTTCCGAATACTTCCGACCTTCCCAAGAGGTCCACATGTCTGGAAAGCCATGGACGAAGACCAGGGGTCTCTTCAGCCCGCGCCTTCCAAAGCCCGCGCCTTCAGCCCATCTTATGGTGATTCAGTGATTCACAATTCATGTGCATCTCGCCACTACAAAAAGCAAAATGGTATCGTTTTGCTTTTCCGTCTTCTTCTTCTGCTCTGCTGGGCTTGGGAGCCCTCGGACCCCGTGTGCTGGGCGCGCTCAAGTCTCGTAGCCCGTGTGAACCCTTCACACTCGAGGGTCTGAGTCTCGGGTTTCACCCGAACTGAAACCAATGAACTCGAGGTCTGCTCCCGGGTTCAAAACTCTAATTGGTATGCTTCCTATGTTCGAATTGCCTCAGGTCGGAGGCTCAGCTTGCACGGCTTGGGCGAAACGAAGTTTGCACTGAATTACATACTTGGGCTTCTTGGTCGGAACGAAACTTCGAACTTGCACGGAACGAAACTTGCACTTGATTCGTCTCGGCTTTCCACGACGGAATGCCGGGCATAGGCTCTGGAACAGGAAAAGGTTGACATGTCCTTGACGTGCCTACCTTTTTGTTTTTTGAAGGTGAAAATGGCTGACTCGATCTGTACGTGTTGCTGTTTGGCGCTTAGGCCGACGCACTCCCTGCACACTGTTGCAATGACTCAGTCTCACTGCTGCATCGCCCGATTTCGCCATCTCCCCTATCAGCGGAGTTGTCGGTAAGCGGTGGACTATGCGGTGGACTTCGGCTCGCCACGCTGCGCTCGGTCTGTGCCATGCTCGCTGGTACGCTTATTCAGCTTTGCAATTGCCTGTGTTTTGCCATCGGGTGGCCCCCGCATTGCCGTACACTTAAAATTGCGGTAGACGAGTTTGGCCTCCTAGCGAAGTGACAAGGAGGGAATGGTTCGCGTGGAAGTTGTAAGGTCGCCCGCAGATGTGAGCGTGTCCCCACCCACGCCCCCTTGAGTTGATGAGGTCTCGGCAAGGCGGCCAAATCTCTCTCTCTCCCTCTCTCTCTCGCTCTTTTCGTTTCTTGGGAAATGAGCGTCATACCTCTCTATCTCGCTCCTCTCCCCTGTCTCGCTCCTCTCTCTTGCTCTCTAATGCTCTCCTTGTTTCTCTACGCACGGAACTGCTTGGGCACATACTTTCTCGCACTTTTAGGCCGCATGCGATGGACGTCCACTACATTGCCAAATCCGTCCATGCCCCTTAACTGCCCTCGCAGCCTGCCTCTTCACCTGTCCGCTTTTTCTTCTTCTCCTGGGTTTCTACGATCTGGCTACACTTCGACCCGTTCTGTATGTGGCTGCACCACTGCTGCATCCTGCTCTTGGACAAAGTCGCCTTCTTATTCTGCACTGGTTTCTTGCGCTTCTCTATTCAGCCCCTTGCTCGTTGGCAACTGGCTTCGTCTCTAGTCGTGGCTTGCAGGTCTTCAAGGTCTGCCGCCAAACCTCGCTAGCCACGGGAAGCCTGTCCCGGAAAAAAACTGCACGTGCTAATTCACTGGATGTCACATTCAGTGTTTTAGTCCTCATCTACTGTGTTCAACCATGTGCCCATACAGCAGCAATAAAATGTATTTCCGGGAGTTCGCTGTGTCGCTTCGTTCCAGTCATTTTGATAATGGAAATACTTTACTTCAAGATATGTTTGCTTATTTTGGTCCGTTCGTTCCTCTCTCACTCACATCTTTAAGGTGTGGTCTTTCTTGTTGGGCCTGGAACCCAACAAGCAAGCGTTGTCGCGCAAGTCTTCTACGGCCACTTCCTCCATGGCTTTCAATGTGCCGATGGGCTCTGTCGTTAGCTTCACAAAACCCCCCAAGCCCCCCCACCTTCCCCGACAATTCAGCCGGGTCGCTTTGTCATGTTGTGGTTTCGGTGTTGTTTTGGTCGGACTTAGGTGGCAGGGGAAGTGATGCATCATGACATGTACTAGCAGCCTCCATCGCTACTGACTGGCTGTCCCCGTGCTGCGCGTGCTGCGCGTCCCTCTATTTGCCGCTGGTTCGGGCATTCAATGCCCTCCAAGCAGATTCGCATTCTCCGTTGCGCCCCATGAGAAGCTCCCGCACAGAATGCCCCTGCCCCTTACTCGAGACTTCTAACCATCACCTGTGTAACATGTAGGCCAAATATTCACCTCTTAGCTGCTGTCTTTCTTTACGTCTTCATTTCTGTAATTCCTTCTGTCTGTCTATCTGCATACGTTTTCATGTTTCTCTTGTGCTCTCACATGCTATTTTGTGTCATTTCATTTATTGCCGTGTCCGCTCTTTGATGTTCTTTTCTTAGGGTTGCTTTCGTTCCTTCCGTCCTTCCTTCCTATCTTTCGCTCGAGGGGCTTGAGGTTCTGGGAGCCCTGCGGCCCTCTCCACCTCGCCGTCTCTATCTCTTATTATTATTATTATTATTCTATTCTTCTTATTCTTCTTATTCTTCTTATTCTTTTTATTCTTCTTATTCTTCTTATTCTTCTTCTTATTATTATTATTCTTATTGTTCTTCTTCTTCTTCTTCTTGTTATTCTTCTTCTTCTTCTTCTTCTTCTTCTTCTTCTTCTTCTTCTTCTTCTTCTTCTTCTTCTTCTTCTTCTTCTTCTTCTTCTTCTTCTTCTTCTTCTTCTTCTTCTTCTTCTTCTTCTTCTTCTTTTTCTTCCTCGTCCTCTTCTGCGGGGCATGGCGGACACTCGCTCTCTCTCTCGCTATCTCTTTCTCACTCACTCACTCTCTTCTGCACAGCGGAGAGCCCCCCTGTAGAGGGAACCACGGCCACGCTGGCCCGCCGTTCTGTCTTGTGGTGAAACGGTGGCCCGTTGACTCATTGGTCGCTTCACGGGCCACAGTGGGCAAAGGGTGTGACCTTCGAGGGGCTGGCTCTCAGTGTTCAGGTAGAGGTGGTCGTCACTCACTCTGTCTCTCTCTCTCTCTCTCTGACTCTCGCATTCCCTCTCATGCTCTTTCGCCTCATGCTCCATAGATGCTCTGGCCTTCGACAGCATGTAGCCGAGTGCCATCCGCTGACGTGAAATATACATCCTGCAAGCACAAAGCGGACAAGCTGAAAAGCAACGGTTTGTCTTACTAAACACGCACCTCCAAGTGGCAGGCTAGAGCCTTCATTGCCAAATTGTGGGAAACCCTGGCTAAAAAAAGTATGCTTTCTCAATCTACCAAACTAACTTTGCGAATAATTATGCGCCAGTATTCCGGCGTCCTCCAGTCAGGCCTTTGGCATATCAGGAATTTGGCATGTCAGCTTTTACATCATCCGATGTTTCCAGATGTCCTGAGTGGCCAAACCTCGAGACGCCATGCATGCACGAAGATCATGGCATTCATCTGCATCTTATGATCTGTTTTTATCTTCTTTCTTCGGTACCTATGTGCGCAGCACTCTACTTTTGGCGTTTGAGGGAGCCCATCGCACAAACCACTCCTCGAAACCGCTACCCAGCGCGGCCGCATCCAGCCCCGTGGCCGGAACCGCAAAGGGCTGCGGGCGGCCGCGGCGCCAGAGAGGACGGCCAAAAAGGCCTTGGAGAGGAAAGAGGACTGAAGGTGACTAGTGGTCGCAGATGGCAGCAGGCATATTTTCACTACATGGCACCCATTGCTGAATTCAATGAAATATTGGAGATTTCGATTGCCCTGACCAAATGGAGCAACAGCTCTCCGATAAGTACCGGACAACGGTTGACGGCATATCTTCACCACTTTTCGCACACATCCTATGTGCCATCAGAACGCCTCGAAAACTTCTTTTGAGTGAACGTCCGGAGAAAGGCCTCGGAAAGTAACTGCCTCCGTATGTGTGGATAGGCTTTGCATTCACCATGTGCCTTGCTGAAGAAACTCACGTATCGCCCAAAGCCCTCAAAACGGTGTCTATCTCTAGTATTTCTACAGGCTCGTCTATGACTAGTCCTGACAATCCTGACAACGTTAGGTGTATTGGCCAGCTCGCGTGGTTTACTCATGATGGTCGTGCTGAGGTTTCGGCATGAGGGAATGCCGAGCTGGAGTATATTCAAGCAGCGGACTCTGAAAATGAGCAAGGTGTCTTTCGGTCGGTAGACTTCTGAAGAGCAGGCCATAACTGCACTTCTTCACATGACTAAGACCATTTAGCATCATCAATGAAGGGGCGAAACAAGCTGCACATTGGTTTGAAGGATTTGTGCTGATTCTTGTAAGTCTTCACGGAAGTTGAGAGCAGCATTGGCGATGTGGGACGGCATGCTTAACCGTGCAGCGACCCCACATCCAACCTTGGGAAACAACAGATCAAAGCACTCAACCCGACGCGAAAGATTGGACTTCCTACGTTCCTCACCGTTGCACGCTGATGCTCATGCGACTAAGTGACCATAGTGGGTAAAAGCTACATCCTGAGAAATGTTATCGATGCGTAGGATACCACGTCAGAATGCTTCAGACAAGGAGCATGGCAGCCGCAACAGCCCTGCCAAGCAGCCCGCAGCGGCTGTTACACTTGACAGGATGCAGTCAGACATTGCTGGAATCCAAGCACATCATTGATAGCAGTGCGGCAATAGAGTTAAAAGTCATCGGCGTCCCATGCTTTGAGATTAGTATAGGAGCTGCGATCAGCACACCTAGCAACAAACGTTTCCGCGTCAATAAGGCACTACGTGCAAATACAGAGCTGCATGCCAGGAACATGCTTGAAGCCAAGGTGTACCCCAAGGATGGCAAGGGATGCACCATGGCAAGGTGCAAAAATGTGCAAACTGCTCGGCACCGCAATTCTTCCAAGGGCTCGGCTGAAGGTATCCCGGTGCCACTCGCGCCGAGGCAACAGCCAGGCCAGCTTGGGCGACCTGCGTGGCCTGGGAGGCCTGGGCGGCCTGAGCGGCCTGGGCGGCCTGGGCGGCCTGGGCGGCCTGGGCAGCCTGGGCAGCCTGGGTGGCGGCCTGGCCCTGGTAACGGCCCGTTGTGCCCACCACCTGAGTCTGGTAAGCACCCATCGGCTGAACCAGTGCCTGGCCCATCGTCTGACACATTCCCCAGCCGGTCTGGCCCTGGATTGGCTCCTGGCAACTTAGGGCGGTCTCAATGCTGCTGCCAATACTGCGCACCAGACATAAAACGCAGCTTCGCGAACCCCGCTCTACTCACTCCGCACGAAATGGATATCAGTGTACCCTTCCGCAAGGTCTGCCTGCAGCGTTGTGCGCTGGAAGGTTGTTTCCTGTGGTCGCTCAAACCTAGAAACTAAAGACATGCACACGTAAGCCTCCTACAAAACAAAATTTGACTGGCGATTCCAAGGATGCCTTTCCAGCATTTATGGGCACTGGCACGTTTTCACTCTTGTGAGGCTGCACGTGCCAGCTAGCTCGCTTCTGTTGAATTTCGTGAGTTTTAGAGCATGGAGCTGCAACCACACATAAATCAGCTAGGGTCGGAGTACACTGGCGCCTGCTGATATGTAGGGGCGAGGTTGACTGTTGTCACCTCAATTCCCCGAACAGGCACGTGCGGCTGCATACGGGTCAAGAGCATGGATAAGCGTCAGACCACTGGAGCTTCGTGAGACACCGAGTGCTCCGTGATGACAGCAGACACCTCCACCTCCGAAAGGTGTGGCGTGAACAAAGTGCGTACCAAGCACCAATTCCACACGCTCCTCATCATCATAGCAGCACACAATTTGTCGGAAACCCCAGTTCGGAATGAGATGTGCTCATTTGTTTTCGCGCCTCGTTGCTGGGAAGGGCAATCTGACGGACAGAAGCAACGGGGGCTTCATAAATGCCTGTCGAAAAAATGGGTTGGATGAACTTGGTGGACTTCGCGGGGCTGTTCTGACTGTATGCAACCTTTCATATCCACAACATTCCACAACCACCCTCATCAGCATTCATCAGCGCACTGCCTCCGTGTTCAGCTTCTGCAGTTCCTGCGACGACTTCCTCACGTTGACGACGTCATCAATGGAAAACACGGATCGCCAACACTTATCTGCTGCACCGCAGCTGCTTCACATAGGAAGGATTTCCAAAAATGCAACGCACATCCCCGGTACAGAGACGCAGCATTCTCATGTCCTCCTTTGTTGCGGAGCGCTGGTACTGCCAACCTGATCGCACTGAGATGAGCTGTGGTTCCCGATAGTGTCAACTGAGTGGAGTTCAGTAGGGACTACGACAAGCACAAACACCACTGTTCCAGCCCTCTGCCTGTCTGGATGATTCTCTGCTGCATGGCGCCCGATGCTTTCTGCCGAATCACCTCGTGCTGCACCACCTGATCACTTCAGGAACGGTGCACAGGAGATTGGCGGGGATTAGGGACTGAATATGAATAGGCGCACTACAAGTTCGCCTCGGCAGCCCAGAAGCGTCTAATCCCCCCAACCGAAAACTTGTGGTCCACCCCAAGATCCAAAGCCCTCCTACCTCCTGAACTCATGACGTGCGTGGTGCTGCACCACGCGACATATGACTTTCGTCCGCCAAGAAGAGCGTTGTACTTGCGGCGGTGTGTTTCTCCGGGAATTGCAGCCCGTATTGGGCCGGCCCGGCTGCCGAGGCGGCGCCCGCAAGCGCCTACAATTACACAGCCGGGAATGACGAATGTCCAAGTCAGAATCAAACACCGAGGGCCAAAAACACCAGGCACGAGGGCCACCATGCATCGGTACCACACGAGGCGCTCCACTCACCTCCGCTCTTTGCCGCAGGCTGGCTCCAGTTGACACAATCGGTCTGCACGATTCTGGAAACGATGTCCGTATAGCTCTGCGATCACTGTGGAAGGCCTGGGGATCCAAGGAGATCCAAGAGCTCCAAGCAAAAACACACGATTATGTCTTTAAAGACTGCTTGGGCTGAGCTCCTGCAAGCACTCGGCATGATCTTCCTCTTGGGGCACTTCTTTCAACATCTGTCGCCTCTTCGCGGAAATGAAGGCACCATCAAATCGGATCCACCACGGTACTTTTTGATTATCACGCTTCGTCCTCCCATTGCACCGGACTTGTGCTGGGTTTACATCTTCTGAGAGTTCCATCGCGACGTCTGACTAAACTGACTCCGATGCGAAAGTTTGCTGACAACAGCTGTTAGCTGAAGTGTTTGCAGAACATTTTGGCAGACTTTCGCCTTGGTTTGCTGAATCAAGGTCCTCTCGCAGCTCTCGCAGCTGCTGTGCTCGAAACGGAGTTGGTAGCATCGGTGCGACGGCGTGCGAACCGTTCCAACCAAAACATGATTCAACTCCCCTCGATGGCCTTGGGCACCTCCACAGCAGTCTCCCGAACCAGGTTCACGGGCACAGGAACAACCTTCAGCACACAGGGAAAAACAAGTGCAACAACAACTGTATCTGCGCATCTTGCACACCATAGTAAACACACAGACTTTCTTTTCCTGGAGAGGCCAGCACTGGCAGGGCCGTGCATTTCTTAAGTTTCCACATGTACCACCTGCCTTCTCGACCACCTTGGTCTCCACTATCCTGGCTATGGCACTGACACGCGCCAACCTACCCAGCAACCTTGCGCATCCGCCGAGGCAGGCCCCGGGCCTAAGGAGTTTGGGGCGAAACACGAGCATAGTTTTTGCCCACAAGCATTCATTGCCAAAGGCCCTGTTTTTTAAATATGGCAATTGGAGACTCTTTCAAACAGGGTCGTCACGATTCGGGTTGGAGTTTTGCTACCTTCTGGCATCTTCTGGCAATCAGCAGGGGTTGCAGGGGGAAATCGTATGATTTACGCGCAAGTTCTCTTCGTGGCATGATCTTTTACAAAAACAGCATGGGTTCGTATGTTTTAAAGTCATTTCTCCTCATGGCATGACCTTGCACACAGCAAGTTTTTCACGACCTACGTATACATCTACAACCGTATATATCGATGTACTTCTGTATTTATATGCTTATACATTAATGTATTGACATATATTAATATTTCTATATTGGTAGTGTCATATACTTGTATATTGATATATGTATATGTATATACATACACGCATATAATTTGCTACGCTTTTGTGTATTTGTAAATACATTGGTATATTTGTATATTTATATACTTATATATTTATATATTTATGTATTTATGTATTTATCTATTTATATATTCATATATTTATGAATTTATATAAATATATATTTATATATTTGTATATTTATATATTTATATATTTATATATTTATATTTGTAATATATATATATTATTTATATCATTGTTATATTATTTTATATTTATGTATTTATATATTTATATATTAATTATTTACATATTATATATTTATATTTTATATACTTATATACTTACTTTATATTTATATATTTTATATGTTTTTTATATGTTTATATATTTTATATTATTTTGTATATTTGAATATATTCTTCTATTTTTATTTATACATCTATAAAATTAATTTTGTTATATATTTACATATTATATTTTTTTATTATATGTTTTATATATTTTATTTATATATATAACTTATATATTATTTTATATTTATACATTTTATATTTATATACTTATATACTTATATACCTATATACTTATATACTTATATACTTATATATTTATATATTTATATATTATTTATATATTTATATATTTATATATTATATATTATATATTATATATTATATATTTATATATTTATATATTTATATATTTATATATTTATATATTTATATATTTATATATTTATATATTTATATATTTATATATTTATATATTTATAGATTTATATATTCATATATTTATATACTTATATAATTTCTACATACTATATACATATACATATACATGTGTAAGCGTGCAAATTTAAATATTTACAGATTTCTCATATATATATATACACACACATTTTTTACGTATCTACATAGATATGCACATATATGAATCAGGTGAGTTGCCCCATCCCCCCCCCCCCCCCCCCCCCCCCCCCCAAGTGCAAACACAACGTCCGCATCACGGATTTGAGCTGCTTTACACGAACTGAATATCATGGATCCTACATAGTATGTAGTATATATTGTGTACTACATTTTTTACACTCTATACGTAGTCTATAGTATACAACATATCTTTTATTCAACACATGTATATATGTATGTGTATATATATAACCGAATTGTATATAATTCTTAATACATGATATTTAATATATAATGTACAACACAACATAGAGTATACAATATACAACATATAATGTACAATATACAACATATGAAGACACAACATACAATATACAAAATGCAATTTGCAATATATCATATATAAGATGTCCTTTGCAAGCTTGCTTCAAGCATAGATGAGGATTTTTGAAACCTATCATGTGAGCATTGTGTTTGCATACTGGGGGGGGGGGCTGCGCCCCCTCCAACCCCCCTCCCCCCCGCCCGCGTATCTTTAAGCCGCGCAAGCTTCCTTCACCAGCATGTTTTTTTTCAAACCCATACGCGAGACCATAAAAGCCGCTAAACCCTAAACCCTCAAGACCACTAAACCCTAAACACCACAAACACCTAAAACCCTAAAAAAACCCTAAGTCCTACACCCTCAAACACCTTAAACCCGAAACCCTAAAAGTCCCTGGCCCTAAACCGTAACAAAACCCTAAACCCCTACACCCCGAACGCTGAAACCCCCTAAGCCCTGAACCCTCAGAACCCTGAAGCCTAAACGTCAAAACACCAAACCTGAAACCTCAACAAACCCATAAACCCTAATCCCTAAAAAGAAAGCCCCCTAAACCCTGAAACCCATAGGCCCAAAAGCGAGAAATCCGTGCACCCGAACAACCCCCTAAACTCGCAACCCCGAAAAACCGAAACCCTAAAAACCGTAAGCCCCAAACCCCAACAACTCCTGAACCCTACACCCTACATACCCCTAAACCCTAACCTCCCCCCTCCATGTATCATTTGCAAACAAACACAATGCTTGCATGACGGGCTTTGCAAAGCAAGCTCACGTGGCTTGAAAGTGAATGAAAAGCGCGAGGCGTTGGGGGAGGGGGGAAGGGGGGATTTGCAAACCCCAATGCTCGCATGACGGGATTTGTTTGTCGTGCAAGTTCCCTCACTGGCGCAGGCAATTCCCACTTCTCCCCATAGAGGTCCTCGAATGTCTTCGATGGCAGTCCGGACCCGGAAACTGTGCACACCCTCGTTTGTTCTGGGCCCTGGTACGGTAGGGTCGGCTCAGAAGCAGACGGTCCCATCGAACTGCCACGGGCGCTCGATTGCCTTCTAGACCTCCTCTGGACCCGATGTGGACCTCAATGGACCCTGACCCTTCCCCGCACCTTGGGATGCCAAGATCCCGCTGCATGATTGACTGCGACTTACTCAAGCAAGCCTCCCCTCCCCGTTCTTAGGCCTGTCTCTCCCCTTTCGGTTTAGTTTTGCTTGCACTTCAGTGTGGATTCCTGATGAATATCCCTTCTCCAAGTTTGGGGACTGACCCCTGTTATGTGGAGATGGTTGTCTTCGTGAACTTTTGGAGTAATGTTGGACCCCGCTAGGTGGCCCCAATCTTGTGTGGAGGCCCCCTCTGAGGATGCCTTATTGGCCCTGTTGTCAGAGTCGAGGTTTTGGCTCCCTTGGACAGGCTGCAGGGTTCCGTGTCATCACATCCTCAGCTATCTGATGTTTCAAGTTGAGGTGCAGGCGGCACCGAGGAGGACCGTGTAAGCGCAAAAACACTACAAGGGTGCAAGATACAACGAATAAACTAATCAGGCTTCACACGGTATGCGATCAATTCTTCGCGGCATTGAAGAACCATGCAGGCATCACTTTGGCACTTGCTTCTGCACCACCTGCTTCTGGTAGCTCGGCACCTGCATGGCATCTGTCTCTACTTGGCCTTGTCTCTGATTGGTCATTCTGCCGTATGCATGTCTACGAAGACTCGTGCCTCCTTCACAGCTTGAGCTATCTGCACTTGTGGCACGTGCCGCAATCGCTCCTCGTAGAAAACCTGGCCGCAGATGCGCCCACAGAAGCTGGAACATTTCCAGCCATCAATGATGATCATTGCGTGTCATGACCCACTCCAGCTGACCTGGGGAACTTCGACAATTCTTTCTTCTGGCTGCAAGATCACTTTCGGCACCTGTGCACAAGATGGACAGGCTCGAGATGCTCGAGTGAAGGAGCACAACAAGGAGCACATGCAACATTGAATCATACTGACATATTGCATCACTTCGTCTCTCGTAAGCTCAATTTCTCAACGGAACAGACATCGTTGACACGTGCCACCTCTTTGTCCACCATTTCCACTTCTGGCTTGGGCACCTGATTGACTGCTCTCTTGCTTGCCGGCATTGGCATGTTGTGTTCATGTGAATGTTCATTATGTTCACATCCGTTGTGGTCCCAGGCTGCTCACACCGACACAACTCAGAAGCACACCTGAATCATCAACTCCGCAATCTGCACCTGGGGCACTTCGACCGGGCGCTCCTGATCCAAAGCACGACAAGTTGGTCTCATCTCACTGGTATTGGCTCAGTTCACTACACACAGAGAACGCACAAGCACACGGGAGGGGGCTGGGGGGTACAGCTGGCGGCGGTGGTGGTGTCTCCTGCGTTAAGGTCACAGGCACCTGGCGAAGCAGATCTTTTGTCTTCTTGCCCAACTGAAGCTTAAGACCGCCTCGATGATCTTCTCCTGCGGCTGTAGAACAACCTGTCACTGTCCCGTCACGCTACCGGGGGGCTACCCCTTGTTCTCACCATACGGACATTCGAAGACAGGCTGGCCTTCGGCACCTCCTTCTTGACATACTGGATGTGGGGCCGAGGCACCTTTCACCAAGAGAACCGGAGAGAACGCTCTCCCTTTTCAAATGCTTTTGTACTCCCTTGCAGGGAATCAATAGCTCTCAGAATTCTGCCTACAGCCTTCACGTTTCGTCGTTAGATTGGTGAGTAAAGTGTCCCGGATCAGCACGGTTTCCCTCCCTCCTAGCCGAGCATAGCTCAGCAGTCAAAACTGACAAGATCTGACAAGAAACTGCATTCGGAACAGTGCTGCTCGGTTAAAGTGGTAAGCTGTAAGGACCATCCCGTGGCAGGAGGCCTGTGTTACTGCTTCCACATTGATGACTTCAGGAACTTCGATGGCTCGTTCCTCGTAGATGACCTATGACCGCAGGGAGCTCTGCCAGAGAAAGCCTTTAAACTCAGATAAACACGAAAGCTTGCCCAGCTTGCCCGACCTGAGGAACCTCCACAACCTTCTCCACGTACCTCTGCGAGGCGCTGGAAGGCACAGCTCGTAGTAGCTCGAAAGCCATGTGCACAGCTGCAAAGTTTTGTCGCACTTGACGATCTTTTTGGGAACCCGCTTCTCGATGTACTTCACCTTGTAAACTGGCAAAAACTGCTAGGTCCCAAACAAAAGAAGTGCCCGATTCTGCAACAACTAGTCAGCCGTAGTCTTCAGATCATCAAGCAATTCTCCAAGTGTGTGGATCCCAATGTTCACTTCCACAACGCTCAGCCGGCATTGAACTCCGTTTCGTCACAAAGGCGGTGCGAGTTTCCTGCCAACCTCACTTGGACGGGAAGCATGGCTAAGCCAGGCGCACGTCCAAGCTGAAAGCAGGTCGACCCTAGAGCGACCGAACCACCAGAGCAATCAAGGCAATCGCATACTGCCAAGTGTCAAAGTGTCATTCAGGACAGAACGACGCAACAATGAAAAAACTTGTGCAATCATGTCAACTCCGACTTCCTGGGCAGCCTCAGCGTCACATCAGCGAGACTGACTCCAGCTCTTTGCTGAGAGACGGCCACCAAGCGCGTCGTAGGAAGAAGCCGCATATCACAAAACGTTGTCCTCTATCTCTACATCAACTCTTCGATTGCTCTTCTATCTTCATGCCTGGGTCCTCTTGGCTGCCAGGCAAGCAACGCAAGGTCAAGCGAAATACTTTGGACTAAATAGTCAACCGCGATTTGACCACATTCCGCGAACGCGAATTCGCTCTGCAGACGCATGGGTCTTGAAAGCAGGCGCTTTGCTGCCATGGATCTTACTTGGGCCACTTATGCTTTGCGAAGCCATCTCAAGCTGTCTCAAGATCCCATTCACAGCAAAGCATGCAAGTCAGCCTCTCATCGGCTGGGTTCACCGTACTGGTCAGCCTATCCCACAAAATATCACTTGCCTGGAAACACATATTTCAACGTAGCAAATCAACCCTTGCACTTCAAGGCAAATGCTTTGCATTTGCTTACTGAGGGCGTCGGGTCGGCGCAGTGCTTGGCCGTGGTGCCTCGACAGCGGCGGTTCGCACACCAGCGCTGATGGTGTTGCTTGGCTTAGCCTTGTGTGTGCTTTTTGGATTTAGTCCTGCCTTTTGGGCATGATTTCGCTGGTCTCCGTTTCATGTTATGTCCGAGTCTGTACACTTCGATACACTCCGCACATGGCCTCCAGAGGCGAGGGCTTGGAGCCAGTTTATGTGGACACTCTTGCTAACTAACAAAGAATGCAACACACAGAAAACGAAAGCCACAGATGCCACTAACGTCTCCAGCTGCAATTGTGCTGAAAGGACGGCCTCACCAAAAAGCAAGGAGAAGAAAGCCCCAAATGAAGATCTATCACTGGCTCATCCATGTTGATTCCCTTCCCTCCGGCTGTGAGGCTTCAGAGAACAATGGCAAAACAAACCTGTGAATCTGTCAGGTGAAATCTACTGCACTGAGGAAATGTACTCATTGCACATTGAATGCAGGCGGAGCCTGCATACTGCTGGGAAGAAGCGGCAGCATGGATGGCTTTTCCTGATGCAGTCTGCCAGGGGCAGCATCGACCTCGCACAGCCAAACGCTGTAGTGGACTCTGCACTGATCGCATACTGTGTTACACTACGTCAAGACCTGCGTCAGCCTGAAGTGGGCACAAGCGTCATCTACTCACAAAACCACACTGCAATGACCCAGCGCATTCCGATGCAAAGCCTGCTTGTGGGCATCCTGGAAGCCCTTCCCGACACCACGGAGGAAGTCGTGTGCAACCTCCAACCTTGGACATTCTCAACACCTATCATTAAAGCATATTAAAGCATCATGAGGTGAGTGAGGGAGTGTGCGTGTGAGTGGCATCGCGCTGGATGCCGTGCTTCAGGCGCTATCTGAACCAGTCAAAACCTTCATATGAAGTTCTGAAGATCTCAGTTGTGCCTACCGCTACTTGTGAGGGCGGCGAAAACCCGACGAATCCCTGCTTCTGACGGCAATGCGGGAACGGGCCTACAAGCACAGGATGCTTCAGGTCATGCTGCGTTCCTTTCTGGCAGGTGCAGAGTGGCGTGAAGGCTGTTGCGCACCGGGCATTGGCCGATTGGCTGATCGTTCTCCTCGGGAAGCAAGCGGCACAACGTTGAGACGCCCGGGGCACAGGCCTCAACCAGATGTGAGCATGCATCGCAGCGCCATCAGCTGCAGGGGGGAGCTTGACAGACGTAAGCGGAGGCCAGGACGAGAAGGATCAAGGTGACACAAGCCGGGCCCCGGGCCCGGGCGCGTGCGCAGGCTCGGGCTGGCGGCGGAGCACAGCTCGGGCATTCTCGCGTTGCAGTGCCACGGCTAGTGTCTCATACAGCCGTTTGGTTTCAGCGGCAAGCCGCTCCGCCAAGTTTTGATGGCAGCAGGCCCCCACCCCCCACGGCTCTCGACGACCAAAGGGACGAATTGGATGCACTGGGCACTGCACAGATCCTGCGTTTGCAGGTGAGAGCACTCGTGGGCTTCATATCCGGTCACAGGCCGGTCAGTGTCCGAGAGCAAGGTGTGGAGACTGCCCGAGCGCAGCCCAGTGGTGACTGCAAGGTCGAAGGCAACGGGCCCATGGACCCCCCAGTTTGGAAGGTAAACGTCCGCCGAACAGCGGCCATTGCGGTCCCGCGCATCTTCTGGCAGGCCATCCTGGTCGGACCGGGGCGGCAGAAGACCGGGCCTTGCGACCTCGGGATGAAGGCCAGCAGCTTGCGCACGGGCCGCCAGCACGGAGCGCAAGCGGTTGTGTCGCTTGGTCCGGTCCCCGCCGCAGGGGCAGCTGAGCGCGTGGTCACCGAAGCTGTCAGCGACTCCGTCGCAGAGGGGGCAGGCCACATCGGCTGCAGCGACCGGGAGGCGAAGACGGAGCTTGATGAGGATGCGGAACAGGGCCGGAGCAATGTCAAGGCCGAGCGCCTCACAAGGCGCAGCATGGAGCCACGCCCCGGCATGCGGCTGCCGTTGGAGTTGCAGGTTGGCACGGAAGGCTTCACGGCCAGCGCCGTGGACAAGGAGCTGCTCGATCACAGCGCGATCCAGCGCCTGCGACAACGATTGTTGTCGGGTAGAAGGCGGCGCGGGGACCGGGACATGGTCGGCGGGCAGCACGAGCTGGTTGTGGAGGGCAGTGGCAGCGTCGAAGAGTGGCCAAGCGGCGGTGTAGCCAGGGTTCAGGCGCTATCCCTCCTTCGCAAGGGACTCCGGAACCGGCGTCGTCCCACTTGAAGTTCAAGCTGGCCAGCGTCGACCGAAAAAGGTGTGGGGAGGTGGCATGGTACAGCTGAGCTGCGCGACTCAAGGAGCGGCGCCAATGCGCAAGGATGTGCGACGCGGCTTGGGGTTCAGGATATGCGGCTGTGCACCTGCGTGGGAGCCTCAGCCTAGAGCGAAGGCCACACGCTCAGTATGTCGGGTCGAAAGGCAGAGCGGCGGAACTGTGACCCACAGAAACGTGTGTTTCTGGGCTGGTGCAGAGACAAGGTCGGCAGAAGAACGGGCCTGGATGGTCTCCGCCGTATCCAGCCTCCGTGGGCGAACTCGCGGCAGGCAGGCATATAGGGTGACTCAGCGGATTTGCTACGCACTCCACATATGGCGGCAAAAGGAAGGCAAAAACTTAAGAAAGAGAGAGAAGAGGGCGGGGTATGGACACCTTCAGGCCAAACACAAAACCACCCTAGGCCCCTGGTTAGGTGGCTTTCGCTGCCTGATCCCCGAGTTCCCCCAGCTGCCTCCCTAGCGTGACACACTGAGTTTTCCGCGCAGCGATCCCACGGAGCTCACCCAGTGCAGCGGGAAAGTCAGTGGGAACGAGTTGTCAGGGCATCACTGGTGTAGTGATGTGCAGTATTGTGTAGTGATGCAGCCGAAGGTAGTGAAAGGGCTCGGCAGGCGGAGCCCTTCGCACAGTCAGCCTTGGGGCCTTGGGGTCACCACAGAGGGCAGAGTGCAGGGAGGGTGACAACAGAATGCAGGGCAGTTTTTCGGGTGTGTGAGTTTGAAACCAACATGGTTACCGGCTCAAGCCTAATCGATCAAACCACAACAGACTGAATTGTTCCTGCGTACAATGCGGGCAGTGTACTACGATTTGTCGCACGAAAAGCACACACACACACACACACACACACACACACACACACACACACACACACACACACACACACACACCAACCCAATGAAGGCTGAGCTTTGCACCTTTCTGCGAGTGTCTGCACATCCCCCTGGGCAGACTGGGCAGAGCTGTGCTTGCCCAAGCTGGCGGGGGCTGTCAAGGCCATATTTCACTTCCCGCATGCAAACTGGAAAGGTACTAAAGAGACCAATGATCCGATGGCCTGGGTGTTTGCAAGATCTGTGGTCAAAGCGCCCAGGCTCTTGGCATGGCCCTGCACATCCCGGTCCTTAGCAGGTTTCTTGTTGCTGCCTCTTCTTCCTTTCAAGGGTCATGAGCCCTTCTTCCTATTCTGCGGCAAAGAATGGAGCCTGCTCGCAGAATGCAGGCTTCTGCCAGAACATGTTCATCCACCAGTGCCTTTTGTTTCTAGAGCCTCCAGATGTCTATAGATCTACGATGTTTACGGTCTATGGTCATGATTTTGACAAGGCTCCACACTTTGGAGTCGCAGATCCAAGCGAGTACATGCAGCATCGTGTTCCTTTGCCAGGCAAGCGCGATGGACACACAGAAGCCGACACATAAACTGGGAGCAGGACATTTCGGGATTACAAAGCACTCCCCTTTCATCATCTCACAATTTTGTCCACGAGCCTGTAGCTTGGTCATGGCATCCTTGCGGAAGTCAAAAAGCCCGTGGATCTCGGTCTCAGTGACCCTGACTTGTTCCACAAGCCTTTCCTGCAAGATGCGGGTGTGTAGAAGGTCGCGGTACGAATATAAGTTATATAGGCGTCACAATACCAGGTCGGTTGGACAAACCTTACTTAAGCTTTCGTAACCTTCCTATTCAGTGTCCAACAGTGCCATCCATCCATCTGAAAAGATGATTCAGGCTGTCGCATACTCAAGGCGGTCTATCTATGAGCTTGAGGGTCGAGCTTTCAGGCAAGTCCGCA